TCAATGGCAGATTTTGTCTTCAACGGGTAAGCCTGTGGCCATTTGGTGAAGTAATGAATGAAGACGCAGAGAAAACAAGAAGATGCAAAATAATTGTGACAGAAATAATGGGTTCAGCATAATTAAATTAATATTAAATACAATTATCAACAATTTGTTTTTTGTTGTTGTTGTTTTTTTTGTGAAAGTGAACTAAAATGGTTATTCTGCAAAGGCAGAACGTTGCAGATGTACATCATTGCACAACACTTACAAGAGAACAGGAGGACAAAGAAAGCCAGACCAAAAAGAAAACATTAACATTGCAAGGTGTTGCATTAATCAATTAGACTACACATAATCATATGTAAATTTTTTCCTGGAGATTATTGGGATCTCGGGTAAAAATGACTCACCTTTATTGGAATGATTTCAGAAGGTTTTTTTATTGTATTTGCATGTGTCTGACAAGCTGTGCACTCGGAAACCTAAATTGGAGGAAATTTCAAATAATTAAGTTAATAAGCAACCCTTTAAAATTTTGAATTTATAAGAAAACAGTGTCATGCATTCTGCACATTAAAACAAATCAGAGTTTAATTGTCGTAATTTTATGAAATGGGTCTCTTATTTTTACCCACCCATTTAATGATATCTACTGACATTCCAGGCCAGTAGAACCGCTTAGAAATGACTTCGACAGTTTTTTTTGTCCACAATGCGCTCCAGTAGGGCTGGCATGAAAATCAAGTTTGCCTCTTCTGTCCCACACACCACCTTGGTTTTGACGGACCTAGCCGTGCCTTTGTGACACCAGTACACCAGCTGGGCCCCTAAATACAAAATAAAACAATACATTACATACAATGTCTAATAATATTATTATAACTTTATATAAATAGAAAACAATTTTTGTAGATGCCATTTATGCAGCCCCTCATCTTCTTTGCGTAAAGAGTCAAATTAATTAAGATACGGACTAATGAGTAATTTCTCCAATGCTTCCCTAGAAGCGTAAGGTGGAAAATAATCACCACGTCTCTCAATGCGTAAAACTTAATTGTTATTTGTTTTCTTAATATTTTTGTAACACAGGTAGTGAAAACTTTTATAGCTTACCTTCAATGTCGCACAGTGACGCTTTCCTTCGAAGAAGAAATTTTTCTTTCTTGGTAAAAGAAGGTGGATATTCCCCTTTTAATTTATAGGCTACCACGCGTTTGTATTCCTCTTTATCCATTAATGCACTTTTCTCAGTATTACTAAGACGTAATAAACAAATTTGAGCGGCTTCTGTTTTGAGCAGATAAAGGTATGGCTAATCCTTTCTACGCTGATGTATTTCTGACTTTTCGTCATTTGGGGTCATGAGGATGTCATGGTGCGTTTGTGTAGTGTTTGGATCCTAAGTTTATATTGCTGGTCATTTGGACCCACACACTTTATTATTACTTGATATAATTAATTTTGATTTCTCCGTTATTTCTGTGCAGGTTGAGTTTTAAGACATTCAGATACATTTCTGTTGCATGACATCTAAAGTCAAACTGGATGAAATACATTAAGATATATATATATATTGAAAATTATATTAATATGATAAGCATACAGTTTAATTTTAACGTGTTATGATATTGTATTATAGAAATATTATTTACATATTTAAATCTTTTATTATTATTTTTCATCACTTATAAGGATTGTACAGTGATAATGAGTCTTATGATCCAAAGAGGAAAATTTGTTGTAACCTCAATCGGTAAAAAGGGGAACATTTATAAAGTAGTATTTCTATTAATTTTTGTTTCTTTCTTATCGCTAGGAATTTTGGTCAGATCTAAGTGAAGAGATAATTTTTTTAGTGTCAAGCTAAAGGGTCTTTGCCCTGGTAAGTTAAAGCAAAAATGGTATGGTGGGGCCTTTTTTGTCTGATTTAGACAGGGGGAACAGATTATAGCAGGTGGCCTGCTATAATTTGTTCCCCCTTGTGACTTTAAGAAACAGGTCCATCACATCCAAAGTTTCAGGAATAAATTGTCATCATAAAAGATGCTTATAAGCCAAAAATTAAAAGCTGGGACCTTTTTAGTCTGATTTAGACAGGGGGAACAGATTACAGCAGGTTTTATTTAGCGGCTGATTAAAGAACACAAACTTTTTATTAAGGATAGTACAACATAGATAAATTGTAAGTTACTATAAACACAGATATAGATGTAAGTACTAAATTTCAACCAGGAAAAAATTATTTCCTTCTGCATATAGTCTTTAATGATTACACATGCACTCCATTTTCTATTTCATTTTTATTACAAGCATATGGTTTACAACAGTTTTCAATGGGATGAGAACATTTGGA